CCTCGATGTTGTTGGTGATCCAGTCATCTAGCGGAGTATAGATGACGACCACAGACTCTTCTAGACAGTCTAGTGGAACGCTAGCAGGCTCGCAACCTGTAGGTGTTTGTGAACGATGTGTTCACCGGTGTACTCCATCCCCCTCATGGTTGCCTTTAGGACGTTTATTGCTGAGGAACCCCTTAGCAGTAGTGTCCATCCCGATGATGATCCTTAGGCTAGGTCCCTTATGATAGGTGTTTAGGGACGTAAAGTGAGGATAACGGGAACGGGTAATCGGGTTATTGTTGATTGATGAAATTAATAAACTTATTTATTGTGGGTTGAAAACCCTATGTGCTCACCAGGCTCCCAAGCCTGACCCACTCAGTTTCATGTATTACAGGTAGTGGCGCTCGAGCATAGATGTGATGTTTTGGATAAGGGATTACGGATATAGGCCTGTAGATATGAAATAATGTAGTAAGGCTTATATTGTACTGTTTATGCTTTTGATCTGTATCGAACATGACATCCTGAGTCTTTTAATAAAATACATTTCCTTGGAAATGCTTTTGATAAATCATTATCATATTTTGTTTTGGGACAAATTCCGCAACACTTTTATTTAAAATGTTACTCTGATTTTCAAACAAGCATAAACAAAATCGGTCTTTTCTGGCCGTGAAAATGGGGATGTCACACCCCCCCCCCCTGAAAAGTATAAAAAACACGAATATATGGGGGTATGAAGCTCACCTTGGTATTTTTCATGTGATAGAAAGAAGAAGAAAGAGTTTTTTAGCCTAGCTTTGTGTAGCTTGAAGACCACTTGAGATGGATGATGTTCTAAGAGGCATACACACAAAAATGGGTGTGTAAATGGAATGATCTTAACACTCACTACTAGAAAAACAGTCTTTTACGACGCGCAATGCGCGTCGTAAAACGCTCAGACGACGCGCAAATGCGTGTCAAGGAAGGCCCTGTCATAACGAGAGACGACGCGCATTTACGACGCGCTCTTATGACACGCAATGCGTGTCAAGGAAGGCTCTGTCATAAAGAAGACGACACACATTTGCGTGTCGTAACCTTACGACGCACATTTATGACGCGTATTGCGTATCATTAAAGCCCCTCTCATAAAGAAAGACGACACACATTTTTGTGTGTCATAAAGTTAAATGTTTTAAAAGTTATATATTTTGATAGATTTACTAATTTTTCAAATTAAATAACACATTAAAAATTGTGACATCCCCAATTTCACGGCCAGAAAAGACCGATTTGTTTATGCTTTGTTTTTAAAATCAGAGTAATCTTTTTAAAGAAAACAGTTGCGGAATTTGTTCCCAAACAAAATATGATAAAACTTTATCAAAACATTTCTCAAAGAGAATGTACTTTTCATTAAATAATAAAATCTCGGGATGTCATGTTCCGATACAGACCAAAAGCATAAACAATATAAAATAGACCTTACAACAGTTATTTACAACTACTGGTCTATAATCCAGAATCTCTCATCAAGTCAACCAACTTATACTCTTGTGTCATTACCTGTAATGCAAAGAAAACCGAGTGGGTCAGGCTTGGGAGCCTAGTGAGCATATAATGTTTTCGACCCACAATAATATAATTATTATATTCAATCATCAATCAATAAATCAATCAATCAATCCAAATTACCCATCCCCATTATCTCCTTTATTTCTTAAGGATTTACCCTAAGAATCAACTATCCTTTATTCATTTATTCCTAAGGAATTGACACAAAGTCCACCACTACCCAGGTCCTCAAATTACAACCGGTAAACACTTAGTTCAACATACTTAACGAACACCTAGTTCTAACACTCCTAGTGAACACTTAATTCAAAACATCTGGTGAATACTTAGTTCTAAAACACTTAGTGAACACACTCAGTTCAACAACACCAAGTAAACACATCTAGTTCAAAAATACTTATTGAACACAATCCTCTAATGAACACATAGTTCAAAAACACCTGATAAACACATAGTTCAAAACATCTATTAAACACTCAGTTCGAAAATACCTAATGAACACATAAGTTCAAAACATCTAGTGAACACTTAGTTCAAATATACCTGATGAACACATAAGTTCAAAATACTTAATGAACACCTAGTTCAAAAACACCTAGTGAACACTTAGTTCAAAATACTTAATGAACACCTAGTTCAAAAACAATGTGATAATAATGTATATCTAAATTTGGCAATGCCACTATTATTAATTAACACATATATATCATATTTCTAAAACAATCTATCCCATCCCGTCAATCCCCACATTCTGACCCTACACAATCATCTTACAAGATCTAGTCTAAGGAATCAATATGAACAACGAACTGACGAAGCTGCTTCGGAAATTCCCTGGCAGCAAACGATGACCAATAAAGACATCAAATGAGGGGAATGGAATAAGTTTCACCACGAAACTCCATTCGTAAAAAGAACCACAACACAATTAAGTCAAGAGTAGTTATCTAGATAAAAATGCCTAGCCGTGGTCCGAATATCGTGAGGTGTTTTACCCCCAGACTCACCCTATCCAGAATCGAACTTTGCCTAGCAGTGGTCTGAATATCGTGAGGTATTTTACCCCCAGAATCACCCTATCCAACAATATAACACCAGACATACCTATTAGTGGTCTATTACCGACACACTTTATTAGGCAGTCTACGAAGCTCCCTCAATTACTTCGTGAAAAGAAACGCTGACATATAAAGCTCGTCCGATCACTTCATAAAAGAAACGATGACTCCAAAGCTCTTTCAAAAATAAAAAGTATGGGGAAATACTAATAGGGTACTCCCATACGCTCCCGTAACCGACACACAATAGTGTCAAAAAGACTTGATACATGATAGTACTTCTGGCACATTATAGTACTCTGGTATGCGTAGGACTCGTAACCGAGAACATACTAATACCCCGGTGCAAGCAACACCAAAGACACAGGGCTTTGAAAAGGACTTCGTACATAAAATGTACTTTTGTACGTAGGACGTACTCCACCGATCATCGATCTCACCACAAACGTACTCTTAATAAGAGGCTACCCAATGTCCAAACTTAATTGAACTAAACATCCCTTTTTAAGTCTTAACCCATCATTAGGCAAACCTACAAAGCTTATAATCAATTTTCGATACTATCTCCGTTTAGGCAACGCTAACTAGTGTATACTTAACACAGAGTTTTAAGTAATAATATCATATATACACATCTTCACACATATTGAACCATAACTGGTTCGCACATTGTATATCATCAAATATATATCTAACACCTATCTCGGGCAATAACAAATATTTCACATACATATATATTTAATACTTTAATCAATACTTGTATTAGAATCATGTTCATGAAAGGGACTATGCACATGATACTTTATCGAATGAACACATAGTTCAAAAATACGTCATCCGTACTCCCAGATCTTAAATTTACCTCCTTATCTAATCCATATTCCCGGATCGGGTATGTCTAATCCATCTTAATAAACAAACAATATATATACACATAGTACGCATTTTATAAGATACTTCATATCTATGTGTAAGATGAAAGTGACTATACAATCACCTGATAAGACGATTATTGGATAGCACTACGACTCTTCAAGCAGTATTCTTCGGTGAAACTGTGATCTCTTCACACACCGGGCTTTTCGTGGGCAGAGCTTTGGCTCGAAACTCTTTTCTTCTCGAGATATTCGGTGCTTCGGGACTCGCTTCGGGTATCGGGGATGATACCGGGGTTTCGGGGGGTACAACTTGCCAAGAAAAGGAAGAATAAGGGAGTAAAAGGAAAGAAATGAGCAACCAATTCGGTTGGACTCACATCCTATTTATAGGAGGGTCCGGCCTCCGAACGCAGAGCGTTCCGCCGTGCGTCATGGCTTACGAACTTCGGACTTGACAGGCGATAGGACTGGCTCTGGGCTCCGAACACGGGGCGTTCCCCAATTGAACGCGGGGCGTTCCCCCCTCGGTGTACGTTCGTCGAACTTCAGAAATTCATATCTTTCGCATACGAGCTCCGTTTTTGACGTTCTTTATATCCACGCGAAGGTGAGATTATGCTCTATAACTCTCGTTTAGACTCCATCGGCTAATTTTGACTTTATTTTTATTATATTATTTCTTTTAGTAGGTCGGGACAGGAAAACTCTGTTAGAAATTCATAACTTCTTCATCGGACGTCCGTTTCCGTCTGTCTTTTCACTGTTGGACTACTATCGACGAGATCTTCGATTCTCGTTTAGATTGTTTCGGCTAGAAATCGCTCGATCTCATAATCGAACTTCAGGCTGTATACTGCTAAGCTGAAACTTAGAAAAATCATAACTTCCTCATACGAAGTCAGATTTAGACGTTCTTCTTATGCATACTCTCGGTTTAACTTATTCTATGACTTTTGTTTAGATCGCTAAAGCCAAATATCGCTCTATCATAAATTCACTATTTACGTCGCGCTGTGTCGTGCCGGTTCTGTCGCGAAACTTCGACAGGTCATAACTTCTTCGTTATAACTCGGATTTCGACATTCTTTATATTTTCGGAAACCATGCCACGACAACTACAACTTAGTTAAGATTATTCGTTCTAAATAATCTTTCATCAAAAGTCACTTTTGATGCTTATCGTCTCTAAATTGACTAGCCCGGATCTACGGGCGTTACAAAAATCTCACTAATATAATTCATTTCACTAATATGTCAAATACAAATAATTATTCCAATAGTGAGTAAATGTTATAAAAAATGAACTCAAGAGAAGCAGAATTTATATACAATTGCATTATCTAGCTTACTATGTGCCAACAACTCTCTGTGTGTTTGCTTTTTCTTGAGTCTCGTTTCCTCCAAATCTTCTAGCCATGCCAAAGTATGATATCTTAGGGTTCATGTCCAAATCAAGTAAAACATTGCTAGCTTAAATTCATCAAGTCCTTGGCGTGAAGTCTTCGATAGAAGCTTAACTGCAATCTCCAATCCTTCTAGCAGCCAGCTTAATACCCAAAGACATAGGTATCATATCCAATACAGGAGATATAATCTGTTATAGGAAAAGGGTATCTTAAAATACACATAATAAAGATATATGTAGCCTTTAATAAAATTGAAGTAGACATCTAACCTTTATGTTCATATCATTCGGGTCCATATCATTCGGGTCCATACATATGTTGTTCCTCTTGAAGGTTGACATAAAAAAACGGTGAATATGATGTGTAATGCAAATAATGCTTTCAACACAAGGGAAATGGTGGTTGGCCTCCATGAATGCTTGAAAAATATTACAGAGTACAGACCTTTTAAGCCAGTTATCATCTTTAGTATCCCTAGGTTCACCCGCTGCATTAGCAGATGTATGGACCCGAATGATATGAGTCGCTATTTTCTACATTTAAAAAAAAAACAACACAAACAAAATGTTATCATAATATTTTAATATAAAATACAAGAAGAGTTTGAGAGAAAAGTTAAAGCAACCCTAATATGGCTAAAAATGTTGTTATTCCTGCTTTGGCTATGGATATTGTTTGTTGTTCCATGGCTTCATGTATGGCAACCCTAATATGGAAGGGTGTTGTAGAATATTTGTATAAAATAGTAAAAAGATAAGAAAGTTACAGTGCTGTTATCACGAATGACAGAAGCAGTAAGCCCGACTATAAATGAGCCTTTCCCGGAAGTGTATACAGCTATAGGAGCAGTCTTCTCAACAAACTTGAGAAACTACAGAAGAGAGTAATTTCAAGGGTTAAAAACAACAAATAGTAAAGTACCTTCATTGATTTACTTAGATTATTAAAATTACAACTCTGTAATAAAAAGAAATGAAAAGAATTTAAGGTTACCTGTGATTTTGCAGTGGATGGGTCTCCCAAGAGCAAAACATTAATATCATCCCTCAATCTTACACCATCAGGTAAAGTCTGTAGAAATAGAGGAAATGAGCTCCTAAATGATTAAGTAAAGACAACAATATTCAAGGGTAAAGTTGGCATTATACCTTCCTTGATTCTCCAAACAGGAGACAAGCCACAACTTTTTTCCTCTAATTCATCCTCTAAATTCATTGCCAATGAAAAATTACTGGTGGAACTTAATGTCATCCAAAAATGTGATATAAGATTTAAAAGAAAATGAAAAACTATCTATCTATATATATGTATATATATATAATATATGTGATATAAGATTTAAAAGAAAATGAAAAATTACTGGTGGAACTTAATGTCATCCAAGTCAATGGCTTTTCCCTTAGTAGTTCATCCTTATGCCTCCAATAATACTCTATCATTCAGTCCAAGCTTACACTCAGGCATACCACTGTAACAAGAATGAAATAAAGAGAAATTTGTCCATTAGTTATTTTTTTAAAAACTTTTTAAAAATATATAGCAAAAAAAAGAGAGAAATTTAGTTTGACCTCAAATAAGTTCGCATCTTCAATGCACCGACGACTTCTGATCTAACTATTTGCCCATTACTGTTCATGAGCATATTCACACTCTCCACAACATCCAAAAATACCTGAAGAGATTAACATATTGTTTGTTTGTAAATTGTAATATGAGTCATAGTAATCATTTAGAAAAATCCCACAACAAGACATGCCTCATTCGTTTTGTAATGTATTCCTTCACTACGCCATGAGACAGCATTTGTAACAGCCATGGGACGTCTCTATGAAACTTCCATCCTGTATGCATCAGTCTTGATGAACTCACTAAGGATTTTAGCTTCAGTGAATTGAGGGTAACCAAAGTCCATCATTTCATCAAGCAACTCATACTGCAAGAGATAATAAATCTTTGAGTGAAGTTGACAATATTATATCACAATATTAATATTCGACTCTCACTAATGAAGTTGACCACCAAAAATGTGTCACCTCTAAATTCATTAATCACTCAAAATGAACAACAACCCTAGAGAATTGAGAGCCTAGCCTCTCCCAAAGGAATAATTTCCAATTTTCACACAAATGAAAAGATGCCTTCCACTCATTCTCTCTACTCCTATATAACCACTACATTAACATAAATGCCCAAAATGCCCCTGCACTAAAAGATGCTCTTTATTTTTTTAGTTTGCCCACAATACCCTTTCCTATAATAACCTGATGCATAGCATTTACATTGCCAACAAGTTTCCATATCAGTAACAATTCTAAACTATGTAACTTGCTGAACCTGTAGCTACTCTTGGTTATTGCTTTCCAAAACTTTCTTATTTCCGCCAACTGGATCCATCAACTCCAAACATCTGCCAACCTCTGCCTTCATTCCACAGTTCCCATGCCTGAGACATTTATCCATCATATATATAGAGATGTTAATCAAAATGGTAAAGAAACTCAAATAACTTACAAGCCCTAGAAGGTAAGGTTGAGTGGGTGTTCCACATCATTCATCTTGCTGCTTACAATTTCAAGCAACAAAACACCAAAACCAAACACATCTGTCTTTGTTGAAACAGATCCTTCTAACATATACTCTGGGGGCATATAACCATTGTATATCAATATATCCAATCAAGACCCGAGAGTTATTATTGGTTAGGGACTCATATTGACAAAAGATAAGTTATGGACTCACCATGTTCCAACAACTCGACTTGTATTTGCTTCAGACTCATTCATCCCAAATAACATAAAACCTGATATTTTTGGCTTCAGCTAGTCATCTAGCAAGATGTTACTTACTTTCAGATCTCTGTGGATAATCTCCAGCCTTGAAAACCTATGGAGATATAAGAGTCCCTGAGCCATTAAATGTCATCAAGATTACAAATCGTGTATTCCAATCAAGTAATCCTTTCTTCCTAGAATCTGTTCAAAATTAAATGAGAAAAATAGCCAGACAAGATGAAGTAAATTTTGATTAGATCTTACCAAATAGAAAGGAGTCCAAACTTTTATTAGGCATGTATGTACTCATATACAATCAAATCTTTTGGTAAAACTATAGATATAAACAGCATCAAAATCGAAGCATTCTTAGAACTAATCAAAGGAATAAACTCACTGTGAACCTCAAGACAACAATCAAAATTAAGCTGAAAACAAGGGAGTTTATTAGAGCGAGAGAGATGAGAGATGAGAGAGAAAGAGAGAAGTGGAGGGGAAGAGTAGCTGCAAACTGCCCGATGATACTGCCCGTAAACTTTACCTTCACTGTAATTGTCTCCGGTCATCACGCCGATGTCAAGATCTCTGTAGTTCAAGAACACACCACTTGGATTCTTTGATACGAATGGTGTCATGAAATCGTGCATAACCCTTGTTTGATTCAAGTAGTTTCTTTCAAGTGCGGGATCAGGGTCGCTCCACCCGATGGAATATTGGATTTTGAAAATATTGCCGGCACGGTGAGGCATTGGACGTAGTCGGACTTCTATTTTTCGAAGTTGATGTTGTCGGAGTGGCGGTTGAGGAGAATCTCCGGCGCAGTTGTGTTGTCGAAGTTGGCCCAGTAAAGTAAGGAGTCAATCCAACTTCCTTCCACAAAATTCTATTAGGGTTGATGGGGTTCGATGGCCCAGCTGTCGATTTCATCAGATGCACTCCAAACTCTTAGAGATGATGGGGTTCGATGCTGGTGGTGGCGGTTAGGGCTTCCAAAGGGAAGGGATAGAGAGTGCAGAGGTAGAGGAAGACGGGCTGCTTCAAAAGGATTGACAGCCTCACAATTCTATTAGGGTTCATTAGTAGAGGATTGTAGAAGGAGAAGAAGGAGATACATGGCGGGGTGTTTAATTTTTTGGGATTTCATTTCCCGGCTATTAAAAAAAATGGAGAACGCACGCCTTCCTAAAAAAAATATAAAACGACACCTTTAGAGGACACGCTTTTTTCGTTAGGTGCCCTCCGTGTTTTATTTTTTTTTTGAGACACTAATTTAAGGGCACGCAAAAATGCGTGTCCTCTATCCTTCAGTTTTTGGAAACCTGACATTATTTTTAAGGTCACACAAAAATGTGTATCGTAAATCTGCGAGTGTCATTGTTTGCGCGTCATTAAAGGGTATTTTTCTTGTAGTGACTACATGTATATAAGCTCTAGAGTTTTACAAGGAACTTACCAAGTTGATGAGTTTTTGAAGAAGAATCCTTGAAGATGGCACACACACACAAATTTTTTTATAGAGGAATGGGAGGAAATTCTTGAGAATGAGTTGGAAGAAAGTGTTTGGTGTGTGTGTGTTGTGGTGATCGACCGCAAGTAATAAGAGGGGGGGGGGTCGGTTGACTTCCTTGATGTGTGATGGGAAATTTTCATAGAAACATGATGGTCACAAGCTTTTTTATTTGTGGGATAAACATGAGGTGGCAAGCTTTTGGTATCTCCTTTTCTTTTTTTTTTCTTTTTTTGACTTGGCTTCCAATTTTGATTTCATTGCTTTAAGAGAGGGTTTTCGGTTTTAGGGTGGCCGAAAACACCCTATCTCCTTAAGGGTTTGTGGTTTTGGGAGTGTATGTATGGTTTTTGGGCTTAATTTGGCCCAATAAAGGGTTTTTGGTTTTGGCTTGGCCCACTAAAAGGTTTTCGGTCCATTAAAGCCCAAAGATAGAAGGGTTTTCGTTTTAGAGTATGTATGGGCTTTTTGAGTTTAATTGGGTCCAATAAAAGGGTTATCGGCCGGCCCAATAAGGCCCAAGGAAAATTTTTCAGCCCAATAAGGCCCAAGGAAGAGTTTTCAGTTCAATAGGGTGTTGGGCCGAGAATTCTTGGGCCAAGGCCCAAAATTGATTGGGCTTAGCTATTGGATCAAGTTTTGGGCTTGCATGAGGCTACTTCAGCTTGATTCTAAATGTATGCTCTTATGAATTCAAATAACATTGTACTTTGAATTTCACTAATTTGATGTTGCAAGGTTACATAGAGGAAATTGTTTCATACAAGAATCACAATCACAACCCTAATTTGCTAGTTGTGACAAACGCCCTGTTCCGAATCATTTCCTTTGTGGGGGTGGTGACCCAAAGAACAAGTATCATCAGGCATAAAGCCTTTGAGGAAAATATATTTAGACCCATTTGGGTGTGGGTAATGTAATTTGGATGATCCAGGAGTTCGGTCCGCGTTTTGGCGCCAAGGGGTATTTCGGTAAAGTGTAAGTTCGGGCTTTATGAATTTTGGATTTTTGTTCGGAAAGTTTTAAGGAAAGTATGAGTTGATAGAAGTATAGAGCTTCTTGTTACCTTTCCGTGGATATAAAGAACGTCAAAATCGGATTTAGAAAGAAGAAGTTATGCCCGTTTGAAGTTAGGTCGGTTTTGGGTTGTGCTGAGTACGCTAGGCGTACAAATGGGAGTACGATGGGCGTACTAAGGCACCCTGAGTACACTGAGTGTAAGCAGAAGTACGTTGGGCGTATGCAATCAGTGGCCATACCCTATTTTCATGTTTTGAGCCCTATTTAAGCTCCTTAACTCCCCCAAACCCACTCCATTCTCAGCCTCCACCCCTCCAACACCCCTTCCATGATACCCTAACCCTAGTTAAGCCTTGTGTGATAAAAGAAGGTGTTTTTGAGTGCTTTGGAGTATGCATGGTGCACCTTGGAGAATAAGGAACTTCTTGGAGAAGTGTTGGTTGCATTGGAGCTTGTAGATCTGGACTTTGTTCACCTTGAACTATCTTCTAGAGGTATAAACTTTAAATTTTGATGATGTGTTTGTTAGATCTAACTAGTTTTGGATGTTATGAGCTTTTTTTGTTATTTTAGTGCATAAAGTTTAGATCTTGAAAGTTTGTGACCTTGTTATGGATAAAGTTGGAAACTTTATCCATCTAAACATCATTTTGATTCAGATCTAAAAGTTGGAGACTTATACTTAATGGATTAGGTTGAAAAAGATGAACTTTTGGGTCCCTTTGAGACTTAAAGGCTAGATCTTGTTTGTAGGGACCATTCTAATGGATAAAGTTGGAAACCTTATCCATTATAAAGCTATTATGAACTATAAAAATGTGATCTTGGCCCTTTTATCCCTTCCATGCAAGAGTTTTGATGTCTTATTGGACATTAAGCACTTTATAGCCATGCAAAGTCATAAAGTTGGAAACTTTATGACGTTGGACATCACTTTGGGCTTGGATCTGAGTTTTGGATGTAAGAAATTAATGGAATAAGCTCTTAATGGAGTTTTGGAGCTGGGCTGAGTATGTTAGGTGTACCTGGTGGTACGTTGCACGTACGCGGTCAGCACCCCGCTATCAGTCAACATCAGAGTATGTTGGGCGTACTCCGTTGGGAAGAAATATTGACTTTTGGACCTTGACCATTGACTTTGAATTTGACCAGGGTTGACCAAGTTTGACCTAAGGGTATTTTGGGTTATCGGGTTAATTATTGATTAAGATTATTTTTATTGTTAGTTGGCGCGAGGTTATCCGGTTCGGCGGTCCGAGCAGTTATTTGATTATCAGCGAATCGAGGTGAGTTTTCCTCACTGTAGTTATGGGTCGAAGGCACCAAGGACGGCTCATTGGTTTGATATCCTGTTATTAACTGATATGCTGAGTATGGAATAGATATGCATGATTATGCTAGTTATTGATATGCTAGTCTGGTAGATTTGTAGGACTATCTATGACTCTGTATTTGAGATATTGAAACTAATTTGGCATGTTTGGTTATTTAGGAAAGTCTTTTTAGGGTTAATCATTTTGTGATTCCCTACGGTGCCTTTACAGTAGAAGTTCTTCATCGAGCTCTTCTAAGGCATTGGTTTTATATTTTTGGTAAATATTTTATGTTCCCTATAAATAATCATTAGGTTAGCTTTTGATGTAAGTTTTTTCCTGATTAGGGTTTTCTTTGTACGTTCATATCATAATTAATATACACAAAACCTTTATCAAATTACTTGCATATTATGGTGATTGATTCTTGATTGTTCTTGATATTCCGTACTCATCATCTCAGATTTATTCCTAACAAGTGGTATCAGAGCGGGTTCTTGTAGATCTCAATGATTAATGCAAGAATCGATCTTGTTTATGGCGATATTTTATCATGAATATCAGCTTGTTCTTCAAGTTTTGTAAGTTATCTGAAAATAAAAAGTCAAATACCTCATATTATTGCAAAATCGTGTTCAGACCTGTTATCTTCTACCCATTCTATCATATGATTTGCTCTTAATTCATGTTTTGGAAGAAAAGAAGAAGAATTTCGTGTTTTGTCAAAGTATTTGTGTTCAGATTTAATTTATCTCTCCAAAAATCGTCTCAGATCTGTTTTCTCTTTTTAGAAACCATCTCAGTTTCGTTTTCTATCTCTAGAATTCTTATCATATCTACTTTCTGATGAATCGTGGATTCAAGTATTAATCAAAATCAGAGTTAAACGAATGCAGATTGAACAAATGATGTAAATAAGATCTGGTTTCTGCTTATTTACGCTTTCAACTTTTACAGAGAAAATAGAGAGGTTCTGTAAAGGACTCTTATCTAACTCTAGTAAAGTTCCATATTTATAGGAACAGTGAAAGCATACAAAAAAATACTAAGGCATTGGCAATTAAGCTTCGTACGAAATACACCTCAGTAAATAAACTTAACAAAACATACGAAGGGTAAACAGACTTTGACATATTACAACAAAATTTGACCCTAACAATCTCCCCCTTTGTAATAATGTCGACCTTCGTCAGTTCAAGAGTATCTGTATAGCATACAACATAACTCTTCGAATCTCAGTGTACCACGAGATTATCTTCTTCAGTTCCTTCTTATCTCCTTCATTATTCTTCTTGCAGCTATTCATACGAACAATGAAATTCGTATATTGGGATGTTGTATATCTTTCCACTTCGGAAGCTTGAAACAAGAATCTTTTCGCCTTCCCATTTTTATCTTTCCCAACAAATACCATACCAAATGGTTTCAAACATATTTCTTCGTCAGCATACTTCTTCAACTCAGGTTGAGTTAAAGGAAGTTCCATTGGCACTTTTACAGTCAATCCCTTTGCTGTAGCTAACTCAACATCAGTAAGTGCTAAACACTCATAATAGTTGTCAATGAAAATCTTGATGTGAGCCAACCCAAGTCGAAAAACTTTAGGATCAGTTTCTCGAAGATATGAAGCGTCTTTATCCTTTAGTAACAATGCAACTTGTATCAGATCATACAAGTTCATTAAGGGAAAATCAGCTACTGAAAAATCACATACTTTCCCATTCGCCCTCGAAACAATAAAGCGAAGATTTTGCATCATATTTTCGAACAACACATCTCGCTTTATGCTTATCACCTTCTTTATCTTCACCAGAGACTAAATCTCCTCTGGAAGTTTTCCAAGTACAACATGAAATCTGATCTTCATGTATGTGTACTCATCATCATTGTCAAATTTCTCAGCAATTTT